CTAAGCTTGTTACGGCAAAGTGAATGTTCTCTTCGTGGTCTTCTATGCTCAATCGTAATTCTATAAATTCTTTGATAGCACCATCTTTGTTAAGTGTGCCATCAGCGTTATAAACTGGAATGGGTCTCGGTATTTTCTTTGTCTCGTAACCTTGTTCTTTCACGAACATTGAATCTATACAGCTCCCTGTGCATCCACTATCTAAGAGAGCTTCGATCGTCGTTGATCGGTTTGTGTCAAGAGTTGTGAGTTTGCAAGTAATGTTCATCTGATTTCCTTGCGTTCCCCTAATATATTTCTTTGGGGTGTGTAACTCTAATAGAGCGAGTTCAGCATCGTGTAGCGTTAATGCATTTAACTCTTGTATCGTCTCTATTGTGACTTCTCTGCTTCTCTTTTGGTGCGTCCAGATGTTGAGAATACCAATGGATCTGTCTTCCTTTTGGTCTCGTAATCTTTCAGCAACCCAAAGTGGTGTCCATGCCGCTGTCAGTTTCTTTCTTTCTTTGTGGTCTAGGTTTTTATTAGAGGTGTTCCTGACCTCTTTGGAACTGGTCGAACCATCAGTTACATCAGTGCTTCCCAATTGAGTCACTGCTTTCTGTGGTTCTGTTGTTTCCAATGAAGTGCTGCCTGATTGAGTCACTTCCTTCACAAATTCTTTTTTAGTTACTGCGCTTTCCTCTTTTGAGTGCGCCGTAATCTTTTTATCTGGGATCTTTCTAACCCGTTCCCTATTCAGGTTCACATCTTTTTTAGTTTCTTTTTCTTTTGATCTTAGATCTGCTGCGTCTTTTGCTAATGCAATTTCATTTTCATGATTGGTACAACATGTGGTAGACGGCGAACAGGAGTCTTCGATTGATAAAGAAGAGAAACTATTATGGAAACTATTGTCTTTAGGCACAGCCGGTTGATGTGTTACCGCTGGCCTCTTCAAAACCCTGAAGGATCTTTGCTCTTTCTTCCGCACTCATGTTTTGCAAGAACTCCCTAACATTGAATTGGGGTTTTGCGTGCGCCTCTTTTTTGCATTCAAA